CAATACAACATAGAGGAATCTATGCACACAGTGAAAGCAGTCTTATGAGGGAAATTCATGGCAATGAATACTCATATTAGGAAAACAGCAAGCTCAAATAAATAACCTAATGCTGAACCTCAAGCTTCTAGAAGAAGAACAGTATGACAAAAGCAAAGCTCATACAAGGGAGGAAATTAAAAATATCAGAGTAAAAATCAATGCAATGAAGACTGAGTGAATGACACAAAAAAATCAATGAAGCAAAGAGTTGGTTCTTTGAAAGAATAAACAAAATTGACAATCCCTTAGCCAACCTTATCGAAAGAAAGAAAGAAAAGACCTAAATCTATGTAATTAACAATGAAAAGATTGAAATTATAATGGACCCAGCAGAAATCCAGAGGATCATCAATACCTACTTTGAGAACCTATACATCAATAAGATGGAAAACACAGAAGAAATGGACAGATTTCTAGATATATATGAATTACCAAAGTTGAACAAAGAAGATATAAAAATTCTAAACAACCCAATATCAATCAATGAAATTGAAAATGTAATTAAAAACTTATCAATGAAGAAAGGCCTGGATCCTGATGATTTCATTGCTGGATTCTAAATGACATTTAGAGATGAACTATTGCCAGTACTGTTTAAACTCTTCAATGAAATTGAAAAGGATGCAATACTCCCAAATTCATTCCTTCAAGCAAGCATCACCTTGATCCCAAAAGCAGAGAAAGACCCAACTGAAAAAAAGAACTGTAGGGAATCTTACTAATGAACATAGATGCAAAAATCCTCAATAAGGTATTGGCAAACAGAATGCAGATCATCAAGAAGATCATACACCCTGACCAAGTGGGATTCACTTCAGGGATGCAGGCATGTTTCAACATACACAAATCAATAAATGTAATACACTATATTAATAGAGCCAAGGACAAAAACTATATGGTCATCTCAATAAATGCAGAAAAAGCATTCCAAAAAATTCACACCTATTCATGATGAATACCCGACAGAAAATTGGGATAGATGGTCTCTATCACAACCTGATAAAAGGCATCTATGAAAAACTAACAGCTGATATCATACTAAATGGTCAAAAACTGAAATTTTATGCTAAGATCATGAACAAGACAAGGGTGTCTACTATTGAACTCCTGTTCAATATAGTTTTGGAAACATTAGCCTCAGTGATTAGACAAGAAAAGGAAATAAAAGCAATAAAGATAGGAAACAAAGATGTTAAATTGTCATTATTTGCAGATGACATAATACTTTATATTGAAGATCCTGAGAACTCCACCAAAAGTCTTCTAGACTTACTAACCAGAGTCAGTAGAGTAGCTGGATACAAGGTCAACACACAAAAATCAGTAGCCTTCCTGTACATCAACAACAGACTCACTGAGAGGGGAACTGGAGAAACAGCTCCCTTCATAGTAGCATCCCCAAAAATGAAGTATGTAGGAATCAACCTAAGGAAAGAAATGAAAGACCTCTAATCTGAAAACTATAGCACTCTGACAAAAGAGATCAAGGAAGATATCAGAAAATGGACAGACATCTCTTGCTCCTGGGTAGGAAGAACAAATATAGTAAAAATGGCCATACTTCCAAAACTGCTATATAGATTCAGTCCAATCCCAATTGAAATTTCAACAGCATATTTCACAGAGCTTCAGAAAATAATCCAAATATTCATTTGGAATCAGAAGAGACCTAGAATAGCAAAAGAAATTCCAAGCAACAAAGACAAGATGGGGGGGATCACAATCACCAACTTGTAACTATACTACAAAACTACTGTGATAAAAACAGCATGGTACTGGCCATGAAACAGACCTGAGGACCAGTGGAACATTTTAAAAGATGCCAGAACAACTCCAGACACACTCAGCCACCTCATCTTCAACAAGGGAGCCAAACACCCTCACTGGAGGAAAGATAGGCTCTTTAATAAATGGTGCTGGAAAAATTGGGTTTCAACTTGCCAAAGATTAAAACTAGACCTATATTTCTCACCCTGTACTAAAATAAATTGAAGTGGATTAAAGATCTAAATATTAACACAGAAACACTCAACCAGCTGTAAGAGATGTTAGGTAGAACTCTTGAAGACATTGGCATATGAAAAGATTTCATAAACAAAACCTCAGTCACACATGAAATAGCACAAACAACAAGTGAATCTCAGGCAGGAGATTTAGCTCAGTGGTGCTGCTGCCTGCCTCACAAATGCAAGGTCCTGAGTTTGATCCTGGGCACCCCTAAAAAAAAAAAATTTTAAAAATAAAAATAAAAATAGAAAAAACATGTGGAATCTCTTTTTATTGAAAAGCTTCTGCACAGCAAGAGAAACACCAACAGTATGAAGAGACAACCCACAATGTGGGAAAAAGTTTTTACCAGCCATTCATCAGACAAAATTCTGCTATCTAGAATGTATAAAAAACTTAAAATATCAGACCTCAGAAATTTAAAGACCTAATTCAAAATGGGCATCTGAAATGAACAGACATTTCTCAGACAAAGAAAAAGAAATAGCAAATAAACATATGAAAAAATGTTCAGCATAGCTGGTCATTTGAGAGATGCAAATGAAAACAACACTGAGATTCCACCTCACTCCAGAAAGAATGGCTGCTATCAAGAAATCAACCAATAACAAATGCTATTGGGGCTGTGGAGAAAAAGGAACCCTTCTCCATTGTTGGTGGGAGTGTAGACTTCTGTAAGCACAGTGGAAATCAGTATGGAGATACCTCAAAAATTAGGATTAGATGTCCCATTTTACCCAACTATTCCTCTACTGGGTATCTTCCCAAAAGAATTACAAGAATCATACCACGGTGATATATGTGTACCCATATTCATAGCAGCACAGTTTGCAATAGCTAAAACTTGGAAACAGTCCAATTGCCCATCAACTGGAGACTCGATAAAGGAAATGTTTGTTTGTTTTTTTTAATAAAAATGGAGTATTTCTCAGCCATAAAGAATGAGAAGCTAGAGACATTTATAACTAAATAGATGCACATTGAGGCCACACTCTTAAGTGAAATAAATAGGACACATATGTGTAAATACCAAATACTTTCTCTGGTGTGAGAAACTGAAAGTGCAAATAAGAATCAAAATATAAAATGGATAATGTGAAATAGGAAGAATAGGTTCAAAGTGCAAGGGGAAGTGGGAGGGGTTGGGGAAAGGAAAGAAGGGGATGGAATAAATATGAGAAAAGGAAAAAATGGAGACAAAGTCATTGTAAATAGGGAGGGGTGGAAGGCTTGAAGGGAGGACAGGGAAATAGGGAAAAATAAAAACCAAGATAGATCATGTAAAGTTTTAAATTCCCAATAATGAGTATCAGCACACTATATACCTAAAATGTACCCATAAAATTAGTGAAAAAAATAAAAAATCTAGACAAAATTTATGTAATTCAATTTTTATAATTATAAGAAAACCAGTGTAAGTTATATTACAGTAAAATTGTAACTTAAATGTGTTTTAGAGAGCTAATGAAAAGAACTTAATGGTCCTAGCTAAAAAAAAGAATATAACAAAATCTTGAATAGTCAACAATCTGTCTTGGAATAAGAATAGTGATTTTTTTCATAGTTCATCTATTTCTTAAGAAGTTCATGTTCTAATAATAGATTCAAGGTTCAATTTATATTACTAGTAAAAATTTTCTATAAAACTTTATTTTATAACTTATTTTTTGGAGATCCTTGTCATATAATTTCCATCAATAGTATCCATAAAATTAATGTGACAAGTCTCATGAAATCTATTATATTCATCTTAGTAATGCATATGCAACATGAACAATTTTATATATGTATAAACACAAGTTATGTAACAGTAGAGGTGAATCTATGACACAGGTGTTATTTGTTTTGAAAACAAAAGATATTAATGTGTTAATGTATAAGTTGTTTTTCCTAAACTAAATCCTCAGTAGTTAGATTTAATAGCATCTTGGCCCTTTGTTATAAATAAGTAACTTGCATTTTTGGCACTCTTTTCTAAAAGGTTTTCCATTGCTGCTGTATAATATTTCTAATGTTTATTTATTAGAGCATAAGCTTTGGAAAGCTGATGACTGATTTTAAAAACTGATTTAAAAGGTAAAATGGACCAAACAGAATGCTATATATACATTGGAAATGTATGGTGGATTTTCAATGAAAAAGAACAGTTAACACGTATCAGGCTAACACAAAGGGTTCGATTGTTACATCAAAGTCACACAAATCAAATGTCTTCCCCCAAATCAAGCTCTTATACTCATTTCAAGGGTTCTGGCAATTAAGACGCTTACTTCCATGGTACTGGCAAAAAGCAGACCCTAGAATCAGTGGAACAGATTGGAAGATGCAGAAACAACTCCAGACATATTCAGGCCCCTCATCTCTTTGACAAAGGGGCCAAACACCTTCACTGGAGGAAAGATAGCCTCTTTAACACTCAGTGTTTGAAAAACTGGCTTTCCACATCCCAAAGCTTAAAACTAGACCTGTATCTTTCACCATGCACTAAACTAAAATTGAAATGGATCAAAGATCTAAATATCAAAACAGAAATGCTAAATCTGTTGAAAGATAGATTAGGTAGAACTTTTGAAGACACTGGTGTAGTAGGCAAAGACTTCATGAACAAAACTCCAACTGCACGGGAAGTATCACAAAGAATCAACAACTGAGATCTCATCTTATTAAAAAACTTTTGCACAGCAAAAGAAACCACTTACAGAGTGAAAAGACAACCCACATTGTGGGAAAAAAATTTTGACAGCTGCTCCTCAGACAAAGGACTAATATCTAGAATAAAGTATTCCAAATAATCAGACCCTCTAAATGTAAAGACTCAATCCAAAAATGGGCATGTGAAATGAATAGACATTTCTCAGATGAAGAAGTAGAATCAGCAAATAAATATATGAAAAAAAATGTTCAATATCACTGGTCATTCAAGAGATACAAATTAAAACAATGCTGAGATTCCATCACACTCCGGGAAGAATAGCTGCTCTCAAGAAGTCAAACAATATTGGAGCCGGAGCTGAAGGGGACTCTGAGCCGTGGCGCGAGGCGGGTGGGGTCGGCTCTGCTGGGGCCCTCGAGGCTGCGGAGTGAATGAGCCGCTGGGGCTAGTCCCTTCCCCGCCCACTCCATCCACTTTCTGCCGCGGGGACCTGGCCAGGAGGGGGCCGGTGGCAGCAGGATGTTCTCCAAGAAGCCTCACGGGGACGTGAAGAAGTCCACCCAAAAGGTGCTGGATACCAAGAAGGATGCCTTGACCCGCCTCAAGCACCTGCACATAGTCATTGAGAATGCAGAATCTATTGATCTTAAACAATTTTTTGACCAACATTTTTCACATATATATTATGTGTTCTTTGAAAATTTTGTGACTATTGAAGCTAGTCTTAAGCAAAAAGGTCACAAGTCTCAAAGAAAGGAATTGGATGCTATACTTTTTATTTTTGAGAAAATTTTACAACTTCTTCCAGAAAGAATTCATCAGCGATGGCAGTTTCATAGTATTGGATTGATTTTGAAGAAACTACTCCACACAGGAAACTCCTTAAAGATTAGGCGGGAAGGTATTCGTTTTTTCTTGATGGTTGCAAGCTCTTCAAAATAACTGTAGCAGAGAACAACTCTGGATGTTTTCATGCTTAATCCCTGGGTTCTAAGGCACCACAATCTGACCATGGACCTCAAACTTTAGATAATCTTATTAATCCTCCACTCAACCTTCAAGAAACTCAAGTCACTATAGAGGAAATCACTCCTCTTGTCCCTCCACAGTCAAAAGATAAAGGACAAGAAGATCTCACAAGCTACTTTCTTGAAGCACTTTTAAAATACATAGTAATTCAGGTTAAAAGTTTAGAATGGAAGAACAAAGAAAACCAAGAAAGGGGATTTTCATTTTTGTTTTCACATTTTAAGAAATATTATTTACCTTATATTCTTCTAAACATCTGCAAGGAGAACAGTTTATATCATCCTGCACTTGATATCCCACAGATAAGACCAAAGCCCCATTATGTCATGATAAAGAAGGATGCTGAAACCAATGAAGCAATCTATTGTACAAAAGAGCCTTTCATTAAAGCTCGTGTAATAGTAATTCATTGGCTGGTTTCTTTTTGGCTGGAGCCAAAACCACATACTAGACCTCATATTCCTGGGATGGAAGATGAAGTCTTGCCAAAGAATATTCAGAGAGCAGCTGCTAGTTTAGTATCCAGAGAAGAAAACAGAAATGATAATGCTGATAAAGGAGACAGAACCACAGAACCAGAGCAGTCTCATTCCAATACCAGTACTCTCACAGAATGAGAACGTAGCTCCTCTAGTCTCTGTAGTATTGATGAAGAGCATCTCACAGACACTGAAATAGTTCGCAGAGTGTTTTCTTCTAAAAGAAGTAATGTAAACTTTGTCACAGAGAGATTTCGTCAGGCATTTTTATTACCAATTTGTGAAGCAGCAGCTATGAGAAAAGTGGTAAAAGTGTATCAAGAATGGATCCAACAAGAGGAAAAACCTTTGTTTATGCAAGAGCCTGAAGAAATTATGATCACTTCTTCCGATATACCTTGCAATGAAAATGCTAAAGACCATGATATTTCAGTGGAAGAAGGAGAAAAAGGGGAAGAGGAAAATGGGACCAGTGTGGCTGAACATGTTCGAAATTCCAGTTGGCCAAAAACTGGCTCCTATCAAGATCCTCTACATAATGCCTCTGAAGAAGCCACAGAACAAAACATACGAGCTGGTACTCAGGCTGTTTTGCAGATGCTACTTGTGTTGCTCAGAGTCACGGAGTCTGTACTTAAGATGTCATCACAAGCTTTTCTACACTTCCAGGGGAAAAAAATGTGACCTTGGCAGGTCGACTTGCAGGACCACTTTTCCAGATGCTTATAGTTGCCTGAATCAAAGCAAATCTAAATGTGTACATCTCTCGAGAACTTCAGGAGGACTTATTGTCATCGTTGACCTATTGGGAAGAATTGGCCACTGAGTGGTCACTGACTATGGAGACATTAATTAAAGTTTTAGCTAGAAATTTATATAGTTTGGATCTCAGTGATTTGCCATTGGATAAGCTGAGTGAACAGAAACAAAAAATAAAGCACAAAGAGAAAGGAGTTGGACATGAATTTCAGAAAGTTTCAGTTGACAAGTCATTTTCTAGAGGATGGAGTCGCGATAAGCCTGGCCAGGCCCCAGTGAGACAGAGAAGTGCAACAACCACTGGCTCTCCAGGGACTGAAAAGGCCAGGAGTATAGTGTGGCAGAAAACTGTTGATATTGATGATGCTCAAATACATCCCCGCTCAACTAGAGTCAGACATTTTTCACAAAGTGAAGACACTGGAAATGAAGTTTTTGGTGCCATTACCTTGAAGTAGCAGTACTTCTGACATCTTGGAACCATTCACTGTTGAACGTGTCAAAGTCAATAAAGAGGACATGAGCCCCAAACTACCTCCTCTTAATAGTGATATTGGCAGTAGCAGTGCTAATGTTCCTGACTTGATGGATGAGTTTATAGCAGAATGACTGCGAAGTGGTAATGCCTTGAATATGACAAGAAGAGGAAGTAGTCCAGGCACCCTTGAGATTCCTAAAGACCTCCCTGATATTCTAAACAAGCAGAACCAGATGTGCCCCATTGATGACCCAGGCATGCCATCTCAGTGGACTTATCCTGCTAGTGCAGGGAGCAGTGATCTTATCAGCTCAGACAGTCACTCGGATTCTTTCAGTGCTTTCCAGTATGATGGCTGAAAATTCGACAACTTTAGCTTTGGAGGTGACCCTGGAATTGCATCCTCTGCTGATGTGGATTCTTTCTCTGGCTATCATCAGAGTGCTGAGGAGCAGGAAGTGGCTAGTCTAACCACACTTCATATAGATTCTGAAACAAACAGTCTAAATCAACAAGCTTTCTCTGTTGAAGTTCCAACAGTCACTGGTTCAGAAAGTGCTTCCCCAGTTCATTCCACTCTGGGGTCCAGGTCACAGACTCCTTCCCCTTCCACACTGAATATAGATCACATGGAACAGAAGGATCTACAGCTTGAAGAGAAGCTCCACTACACTGTTCTTCAGACACCAGATGATCTAGAAATCAGTGAATTTCCATCTGAATGTTGCAGTGTGATGGCAGGGGATACTCTCACCGGATGGCATGCTGATGTTGCTACTGTTATGTGGTGAAGAATGCTAGGCATTTTGGGAGATGTCAATGCTATTATGGATCCTGAAATATATGCTCAAGTTTTTGATTACTTCTGTGAACTTTGGCAGAATCTAGCCAAGATTAGAGATAACCTCAGCATTTCAACTGATAACCTGACCTCCCCTTCTCCACCAGTTTTGATTCCTCCACTAAGAATTCTTACACTTTGGCTTTTTAAGGCAACCATGTTGACTGATAAATATAAACAAGGTATATTACATGCTCATAAACTTATTTGTAATACAATGAAAAGAAGACAAGATGTATCACCAAATAGAGATTTTCTAACACATTTCTACAATACAATGCATTGTGGATTATTTCATATCGATCAGGATATTATTAATACAATCATCAAGCACTGCTCACCTCAGTTCTTTTCACTTGGTTTGCCTGGTGCCACAATGCTAATTGTGGATTTTATTATACCTACTGGTAGAGTGGCTTCTTCAGCTTTTCTCAATGCACCAAGAGTGGAAACACAAGTTCTTCTGGGATCTTTGGTTTGCTTTCCTAATTTATATTGTGAACTGCCTGCTCTCCATCCCAACATTCCTGAAATTGCTGTGATTCAAGATACAGATGTTAAGGAACTAATAATCAAAACTGTATTAAGCTCAGCAAGAGATGAGCCCTCTGGTCCTGCACGGTGTGTAGCGCTTTGCAGTTTAGGTATTTGGATTTGTGAAGAGCTGGTCCATGGTTCTCATCATCCTCAAATTAAAGAAGCTCTGAATGTAATTTGTGTTTCCTTAAAGTTTACTAATAAGACTGTAGCTCATGTAGCTTGTAACATGCTTCACATGCTGGTTCATTATGTACCTAGACTTCAGATTTACCAACCTAATTCTCCCTTGAGAATTATTCAAATCCTAATAGCCACTATGACTCACCTTTTGTCAAGCACAGAAGCTTCGTCTTATGAACTGGGCAAGAGGTTGGTAGTATCCTTACTTCTCTGCCTTCTGTACTGGATCATGACCTTACCTCTAAAGACACTACTCCAACCAGTACATGCTGCAGGAACAGAAAATGATAAAACAGAAAAATCAGTCCTTAATTGTATTTATAAGGTTTTACATGGGTGTGTTTATGGAGCTCAGTGTTTTAGCAATCCAAGGTATTTTCCAATGAGCCTCTCTGATTTGGCGTCTGTAGATTATGATCCTTTTATGCATTTGGAAAGTCTCAAAGAGCCTGAACCTCTACATTCTCCTGATTCAGAACGATCTTCTAAACTCCAGCCAGTAACAGAAGTGAAAACACAAATGCAACAAGGATTAATCTCTATAGCAGCCCATACTGTTACTACACATCTGGTAAATCACTTGGGCCATTATCCAATGAGTGGTGGTCCAGCTATGCTAACAAGCCAGGTGTGTGAAAATCATGATAATCATTACAGTGAAAGTACTGAACTTTCTACTGAACTCTTTGAGAGCCCAAATATCCAGTTCTTTATGTTGAACAATACAACCTTAGTGTCTTGCATCCAGATCAGATCAGAAGAGAGTATGCCTGGAGGAGGTTTATCAGCTGGCTTGGCATCAGCCAGTTCAAATGTCAGAATCATAGTATGTGATCTGTCTGGAAAATATTCATGGGATTCTGCCATACTATATGGACCATCTCCTGTGAATGGCTTGTCCAAACCTACATCTTTCATACTTTCATTGTCTCACCAAGAGAAGCTAGAAGAGCCTCCTACATCTAATGAATGCTTAGAAGATATAACAGTAAAAGATGGGCTTTCCCTCCAGTTTAAAAGATTTAAAGAAACAGTACCAACTTGGGATACAATAAGAGATGAAGAAGATGTTCTTGATGAGCTCTTGCAGTATTTGGGTGTTACTAGCCCTGAGTGCTTACACAGAACTGGAATCTCACTTAATATTCCTGCTCCACAACCTGTGTGCATTTCTCAAAAACAGGAGAATGATGTTATTAATGCTATCCTTAAACAACACACAGAGGAAAAAGAATTTGTTGAGAAGCATTTTAATAACTTAAACATGAAAGCTGTGGAACAAGATGAGCCAGTACCTCAAAAGCCTCAATCAGCATTTTATTATTGCAGATTGCTTCTTAGTATATTAGGAATGAATTCCTGGGACAAATGGAGGAGCTTTCATCTCCTGAAGAAAAATGAAAAACTACTTAGAGAACTTAGGAACTTGGACTCAAGGCAGTGCTGAGAGACACATAAGATTGCAGTATTTTATGTTGCTGAAGGATAAGAAGAGAAGCACTCCATTCTCACCAATGTAGGAGGAAGTCAAGAATATGAAGATTTTGTAGCCGGTCTTGGTTGGGAGGTAAATCTTACAAATCATTGTGGTTTTATGGGAGGACTACAAAAAAATAAAAGCACTGGATTGACCACTCCATATTTTGCTACCTCTACAGTGGAAGTAATATTTCATGTATCAACAAGAATGCCTTCTGATTCTGACGACTCTTTGACCAAAAAATTGAGGCATTTAGGAAATGACGAAATGCACATCGTTTGGTCAGAGCATACTAGAGACTACAGGAGAGGAATTATTCCTACAGAATTTGGTGATGTCCTTATTGTAATATATCCAATGAAAAATCATATGCTTAGTATCCAGATAATGAAAAAACCAGAGGTTCCCTTCTTTGGTCCACTTTTTGATGGTGCTATTGTGAATGGGAAGGTTCTACAAATTATGGTTCGAGCAACAGCTATAAATGCAAGCCGTGCTCTGAAGTTGTTGATTCCATTGTATCAAAACTTCTATGAGGAGAGAGCACGTTACCTGCAAACAATTGGCCAGCACCATTTAGAACTAACAACATTTGAAGATTTTGCAGCACAGGTTTTTTCTCCAGCTTCCTACCATCATTTACCATCTGATGCCAATCATTAAATATCAGTTCTGTTTATCTGAACGCTTCTACCCAGAGATTCTACCCAGTGAAGCTCTCACAGCAACACAGGTAGATGGGGCTGACCTGGCCTCTCCAGTGTCTCCTCGAACTAGCAAAAGCCGCATGTCCATGAAGCTGCGTTGTTCCTCTGGCTCGGCCAATAAATCCTAAGGAGACAAGCAGCCCAACAGTGTGATCAGCAGTAGCCACCTTAGCACGAACATAGTGTTAACCCCTTCAGGCCTTCATATCTGCCATGCCATGCATGTTCCTTCATGTACATTTATTTGAGAAAACACTGGACTTAAATAATTTGTAACTTAATAGTTTAGATTTGGGCTGTTTATTCACTTCATTTTTCCCCGTACACTCCAAACTGCCATCTTTTGAGGGGGTGGAGTTTTATTCTATGCTCTTTACCTTCCTAGATACTCACATCTTAAGTAATTTTACCTCTAATTTCATGATTAATGTTGAGCCAAAATTCAATTGGACAGATAGTCTCCTTGTATTTATTGTACCCCCTGACAGCTTTATGGTTCAATAAATACATAATGTTTTACAAATGTAAAATTAAACTTAAGCGTTTGTAAAGTTAAAGTTACAGATCTGTTAATAAACAGGATATGTGCAGATTATGTCACAAAAATAAAACACTCAAAATTAAATGGTCATTTAGCATCTTAAATTCCAACTGAAATAATTTTAATGTTACCTTTTTCTTCTCAAGGCAGTATCTCATTTCCTGACTATGTAGATGATTCCATGCATATCAAGTAATTAGAAAAATCACTGCCAAATCTTGATTTGTTTAGCTTCCAAGTAATTTTCTAATGCTTTGCTTTTTAAGTGCCATCACTGTTAAATATTATTTGTTTTGAGATTGTAGCCCATTAATATTGGCTGATAGATGCTGTATCTCTATACTCTTCCTTAAGTACCAAAAATAAGGCGGTGGGAAGGAGAAAAAAACTTTTCTGATATGAATATGTTGCTCAAATTATGTATATTATTTAAAAAGAAAAGGGAACATGACCAGGAGTCTAAGTTAAATCTAATATCGTTCATACTGAACTTGCAGGTGCAAGTTGATATACATTCCACCCTCTGGAAGCATTTTCCTCTTAGATAAGCTGCTCACATTTTTTAAAATTGGGCATCTCCTAAGGAAGTGTAGCATGACATCAGTACCAACTGCATGTGTAAATACGTCATACCAGAAAACCATAGAATATAAATTATGTAACATCATTCATGTAGTGTCTACAAATTTATAACAATGGGGAGGGATAAAAAAGATGGAATGGTATTTAATAAAACAATAAAAATATTCTTACTATCAAAAAAAAGAAATCAAACAATAACAAGTTCTGGTGGAGCTGTAGAGAAAAAGAAACCCTTCTCCACTGTTGCTGCGAGTGTGGACTGATGCAACTACTGTGGAAATCAGTGTGGAGATTCCTCAAAAAACTAAAATTAGAGGTTCCATTTGACCTAGATATTCTCCTTTTTGGTACCCTCCCGAAAGAATGAAAAGCATCATACCACAGCAATACATGCACACCCCTGCCTATAGCGGCACAGTTTGTGCTAGCTAGATCTTGGAAACAGCTCAAATGCCCATCAGCCAATGAATGGATAAAGAAGATGTGGGGTTTTTTATACAAGGGAGTACTACTCAGCCATAAAGAAAGAAACATGAGATATTTCTAGGTAAATGGTTTCACCTTGAGACCATACTCTTAAGTGAAATAAATTGGCCACGCATGTTTAAATATTGTGTTGTTTCTCTGGTGTGAGAAACTGTAAGTGTAAATGAGGACCAAAATGTATAATAGATGTTGTGAAACAGGAAGAAAATGTTCAAATGGATGGAGAAACTAGGGAGGGAGGCTGGAGAAAGGAAGGAAGGGAAAGGAAAAGAAAATGAGAAAAGAAGGAAAAAATGGAAGCTTTTGTAAATAAGGAGGGGAAGAGAGGTTTGAGGGAGGGGAGGAGATGGGATAAGAAAAAAACAACAAACAAACAAGCTCACTTGAAGAAGGGACACATCTGCAGTATTGAGAGCAGCTCTCTAAGCCCATTCATCCTGCCTTGAATATTGATGCTCTGAGTCAGGCAGTAGAGAAGATCTCCAAGTGAGGTTTTGAAGGATTATCTCATACAGGAGAGAGAATTTTTCATCCATGAAATATCTGTATTTTATGTCCCAGCAATGTGACATTTTCTGAGTCAACAATGTGACTCATGAACCCACTGATGTAACTTCAAATCTTCAAACCAATTCATAACATGCTATTAAAATTGCCATACATAAGGACCTTCCTTCTACCAAATATTATTCATCTATTTACCTGACCTTCTAGTTTTCAAAGAGATTATAGGAGTTTACCTCCTTTTCTTTTCCTTAAATAAAAATCAGTTGCTGTAACTTCTTCCTCCCCACCTGCTCCGTTTCCTCCATTCATTCTGAGAAGTTTCTTCCATTGGAAGGGAAGGGTAAGCCTGGCATTCTGGATTTTTCATTGCTGTTGAATTATAAAGAAAACAGTTTACAGGTAATGTTTATTTGACCTGCACTGCCATTTTTTTTATTTCTCTTATGGGTTTTAAATGTTTCAAAACATGGTTTGAAGGAAGAGTTAAAATATTGCTTTTCTTGATGATTATTTTTGTTTTCTTTTAATTTTCACTTATTTCTAAGTTTCCAGAATTTAGCTTTTGAAGAATTCAATGCTTCAATTGAAGAAAAATGTAAAACGCAGGCTTTTTGGATTTGCACTTATAATATAGTAGAGAAAAAGAAAAGACAGTTAAACTTATCCATCATATTTTAAATTACAAATTGTAATATTTTCCCATTTGTTGTTTATTAAAAATTATTCCTTCTGGAACAATAATCCATTAAGCTAATTTAAATAAAATATATCCCTTCATTATTTTGATGTCTTCTTTTAAGTTACACTACACACACACACACACACACACACACACACATATTTTATGCTAGGGATCAAACCCAGGACCTTGTGCTTGAGTAGCAGCCATGGTACCACTGTGCTAAATCCCTGGCCCTCATTGTATATATTTAATTATAAAGTGCCTGTCTCAAAATATTTCAGGTGAAGTTTTGTGTAACAAATTATAAAATCTCTATTCTTTTTAATTTTTTCTACTTTGTATGTATCAGAAGTACAGTGAAATAATTCCCATAAATGAATCATATATGAAACACTGAATCCAATATTTGCAGCCTGATTTATCTATTTTGCTGTTCTACAACAGGGGGTATAATTTCTACCATCAAGTCCCAATACCTTTAATCACATCAAGCTCCTAAACTTTAGTGCTGTTTCTTCTTTCTAGCTTGTTCTTATGAACAATAAACCAAGTTCCATATGCCCTCTCCCCAACTTACTCCCTGACTACTTGAGGGATAATTGAATCTTTCTTCTCGAAAACACTCTGAAGTCCAGTAATAGCTAGTATTTCTTTACTGTTACTGTCAGGTGGTCTTCAAAAAGCTTTACATGTTTTAAGTATTTTAATCCTCTCAAAAGCCTATGAGCTAGCTTCTAATATTCAGTACCCTTTTGCAAGCAAGGAAACTGGAATGCAAAGTAGTAACCTGCCCCAAATGACACCACTAGTATTATTATAAATCAAATATTCTGCTCAATAGGGTGATATCACATAAACATATCCTAGTCTGTCCCACTTTTCCAAAAATGAATTGCTGAAATTCTAATGTGATGAATTTTTTGCCTTTCATTTTTATAATTATAAATAATAATCATACTCATATTTAAGCATGAACAAATACAATATACTGTAGTTCTCCTGGGAGGACATAATAATGGCTGGTATTTATTATTTCTTCTGTGTACCAAACAACACTTTAATTCTTTGTGTGTTTTGACTCCTGTAATCTTAAAAGCAACAGTTATAATTCAAAATAACAATTTCTCATTCCTCTCCCAGTGAAAAATCCAGGACAAGTAATATTCCTATCATTCTCATTTTACAATAGAAAAATTAAGGTACAGAAATGTGAAATAAAATTCCCCACGTCATGCCAACAAGAAATTTCAGAGCTAGAGTATGAATCAAACTGATATTCCAGAATGCACATCCTTTACTGCTGCACTGTGTCCCTAGCTCCCGAGACAGAACAGAATCAGTACTATCAGTATGCATCAGAATCAGCTAGGTAATGTGGCAGAAACAACAATTCCAAAATATTAGTGACTTTTAACATCAAACATTTATTTTTTGCTTATGCTATATATCTATTATTACTCCTCAAGCAACTTTCTTCCATAATCTATCATTCTGAGATGGAAGCTCGTGAAATAATCTTCGTTTGTTAATTTGTAGTGTGGGGAACACAGAACACCACGGATTGCAAAAGAGTCTAAAATTTCCACTACAAGTTTCACATAATTCTTCTATTTCCTTGGTTTATTCAAAGCAACTCATATGGCTACAGCTATCTAACTCCAGGGAGCAAAGAGGAACAAACTAACCATATGTTAACAAGTGAGAAAATTAAATATAAATGACAAACAGCACCAGTTCCTACTATTGCATCTTACTCCTGTGAATCAATCTGGTTTTAATTAAAATGTGAAAACTATCATTTGGTAAATGTACTACATTATTGTCTCAAAAATCCTTAGATTCCATCATAGTTTTTCAGAAAAATGTAACTCAATCCTTAACATATAAATACCCATTCTTAAAATGGCTTGTAAACATTAAGCTATTTTTATATATATAATGTAAATATAGCCTATATTATACAGATTATGTTTCAGTTGCTCATCTAGATTTTCACATCTTTCTTTTTAAAATTTAATTCTGCTTATATTCAATAGAGTATCTACTGGGTTGTCTAGAATTTGTTGAAGTTACTAAAATCCTTTTCTAGCTTATTATAACTTTTTAAAAGTTAAATGATCATACTTGTCAGCATCTAATCTAAGCATCATTGTTGTGCTTGTCAGATTGAGTCACAGAGACAGTGTTATTCCAACAACAGTTTTTAGTCATTTACCTTCTTGCAACCTTATCATAAGCACATTTTTCCTCTGAGAATATCTCTGGAGATTTTAAGTGACAAACATAATATCTTAAATGTGTGAAAAAAATGACTCCCCTGCTCCCAATAATATGCTTTGTTTGATCCAGAAACAGATAATTTGCATAAGCCAAGACAAATAATTATCTTGTACTTTTTCTCCCTGATGATTCAATGTTAAAGCCTTCCCACATCATCCTCTAAATCATATATTACATGTCCAACTTTTATTCAATATATGATCACCTCCATTTCCCAGATTGCACTATTTACATTTTAACCTAATCAGGAAAATTTTCCATCAGAATTTTAATTCTTGCATAAAATAAATTACACCTTTCTGCATGCCTTTTTGCAATGTTAAATTTAAAGTGAAACCCTTATATTATTTACTTCCAATTTGCTGATTCCTACTGTATCCATTGATTCAACTGTTTTTATGGTA